AAGTGCCTTTCTTGATAACACATTAACATACTAAAAACACAGAGGTCAGAATCTTGGTTTGCATAGAGGTAGTAGTAGGAGTTGGAGTTCAGGTTACCTGTTGGTAGTGAAAAGAAAAAGGGTTGAGGAGGCAAAACCTTGAGGTGCATAACAAGGACGTAACCTGAATAGCAGCACAGTAGAAAGGGTCTATCAGTGCTGGTAACACAATGGAGAATTTAAGAATTGCCATACTGGTAAATCATGGTTCACTCAGTGTTCTTTTGGCAAAACAAACCTACAACAAATGTTAAAAATCATTATGACATTTTGGGTGCTTTATGTCATTTCATGTAATTCTCACTACAGTCTTACAAGATAGCTAATAATGTTATGATCTCTGGTTTATAGACAAGGAATATGAGATCTCGAGAGTTTAAAACACTTGCCTAACATCTCACATTTTGTAGGTGTTAGAGCAAGGATTCTAACTCAGATACAAGATAATAGTGCTCACTGATATAAAAATTGAAGATTGGATACGTAACACCTCCTTTCCACTGAACACTATTCACTCATTTCTTCAGATCTCTTTTGAGTTATTAAATATTAATATGGAAATTAATGAGTTTGTTAGGATTGGTTAAGCAGTGAAAAGTGTTCTTTGCAAGGGCAGAACCAAATGGCATGCTATTAGTATGCTGAAATAAGTTAATACTAATTCTGTGAAGGCCCCATGCAGGAACAGGGCTTTTTAAAATTTTTTTATTGTTTTATTATTCATATGTGCATACAATGCTTGGGTCATTTCTCCCCCCTGCCCCCACCCCCTCCCTTACCACCCACTCCGCCCCCTCCCTCTCCCCCCAACCCCCTCAATACCCAGCATAAACTATTTTGCCCTTATCTCTAATTTTGTTGTAGAGAGAGTATAAGCAATAATAGGAAGGACCAAGGGTTTTTGCTAGTTGAGATAAGGATAGCTATACAGGGAGTTGACTCACATTAATTTCCTGTGCATGTGTGAGGAACAGGGCTTTTTAATATTTCATCTAGAAATATTTTACTGTATATATTTCTTAAAAGAACACTTTAAAAATAACTATAATAAGCCAGGTGTGGTGGTACATGCTACCCAGCACTCAGGAATCCGAAGCAAGAGGATCATGATTTTGAGGCTAGCCGGGAAACATATTGACTGAAAACAAAGACGAAAACCAAACTAAATCTCCTACAATATCATTACTACATCTAAAAAACAATTCCTTAATAACATCAAATACCCAATGCTCATGTTTTCTTGAGTGTTTTGTTCAAAATATAATTTCCAGGGTCTGCTTAGATTCTCTGAATTAGACTATCTAGAGTAGGGAAAGAGGTGTGCAAATCATCTGTTCATCTTGCTATGTTGAGTTCCTCTTCCTCTTCTTTTTCTCCTTCCCTTCCCCCTCCTTTTCTCCTTCTTCTTTCCTCTTTCTCTTTCTTCTTGTGCTGGGGATCAACCCAGGGCCTGGCACATGCTAAGCCAACTGTCTACCACTGAGCTGTATCTCCAACATTGCCTTCTTTAAATGACAACTTGAGCAAATTCTATAGCTTCTTGGTCACTTTTTGGGTACCAACTTTTTGGAAAAGATTGCAGATAAAGGAAGGCCAAGTGAGTTTTCCCTTTCCTCCATTTCTGCCAACCGTTGCATGTGTACTTCTCAGACCTTTCTCTAATTCAAGACCGGTGCTGAGCTTTGAGTAAGCAGAAGCACATATTTCAGTTCAGTTGTAGCTGTAAAATAGTTCAAAAAGAGGTAAAATTAATATGTTTTTAGGGTTTCTGGTACATGTCTTGATGATACCATTTCATTGTTTCTTATTTCCCCCTGAATTTACCCTTTTTACCCCCTTTTTGAGATGCTGGGGATTGAAGTCAGAGTTTCATGCATGTTAGACAAGCACTCTACCACTGAGCCTTAACCCTAGATCTTTCCCCTGGATTTAGAATTTAATTGGGCTGATGTTTTTGGGAAATAGACTAGACGTTCCATGGCTCTTTCATAGATCCTGATCAAGATTTAAAATATTCATATTATATTTTAAGCTATTCCTTTATCACTTTGTTCTATTTACACATTAGTAAGAACATCCTGTACTCTAGCTCACTAATCTTTAAAAGAAGAATTTGTAGCTTAGGAGAAAAGATTGTGCCTTTCCTACTTTATATTATTTATAACTGTTGGGTAACTACTAGTTTGTTTGGAATAGTGGTGGCTATAAATTAGTCTAGAATTTCAGAAGTCTTTTGAACAGAACTTACATTTACAGTCTCAGTGATTCAAAAGAGAGATCGTATTTGTTCAAAAATTTCCTCATTCTCCCTCATTTTCCTTCTATAATATTTGATATATATCATCTAGTCTTGGTTATTTATCAACATTCATTTTATAAATTTGACTTGACTAATTCTGAGTATTGTCCCTAATTTAGCCAAATTACCAATGTATCACTTTGTAGCCATCAAAGTTGTAATCACCATAACAATCCTCTGATATAGACTGAAGCAAAAAAAATGTATGTAATAGGTTAACATTTGTCTTTACTCATAATTATCAATGAATTCACTGATTTATCCCTTGGCTTCCTACATTTTTTATGTTTCTTATTATTTTATTTTTTGAGGATGCAGGGGTGTAATAAATATATTATCATTTGTGAAGTACCAAATGCTATACTATTACTCGCATGGATGATAGTTTTTGCGCAAAGTGCATGCTCAATCAGTACCTATTAAATGAATGAGTGAATGCCAGGTATTGTGCTTGTCACTTTATATATGTTACTTTATTTATTCTTACAACAATCCTATGTGAAATGTGTACTATTTCTGTCATTTTTACAAAATGTAAAAATAATAGTACCTATTTTACAAGATTGTCAGGAAGATCAAATGACTTAATGTACATGAAACAATTAAGACAGGTCCTGCTTAACAGAAAACTCTATTTAATTAGTATTACTATTTTCCAGTGTTAGTTGTAAACACTGAAGTACAGAGATTTTTAAATCATTTTTACAAGAACATAAGAAGTCACGCGGTTGAATCAAATTTCTAAACTTCATAGTCTTGCTTCTAAAAATTCTTTTACCTCCTTTTGGCTTTGGTGTTCTCGTAAACGAGCTCTACAAAATGTTATTCAGCCTGATTTTCATATATACCTAGATTATTGTGTAGTCTTTCCATTTTTCTTAGACTGTCTTTCAACTCTTTGAAAGATTATGTTCCTTCTTAAATTTAGATGTACATTGCCCTTTTCACTAAAAAAGTATTCTGATCCTCAGGACATGTTTATCCTGTAGTCCAATACATTGTTTTAAATGATTGCAAAACTTCTCATTGGCTAATTATTATTAATTTATTTTTTGCAGTGCTGGGGATGGAATGTAGGGCCTTGCACATTCATGCTGTACTACAGATCTACACCCCTAGTTCCTGGCTAATATTATAATATTTCCTTTCCTAATCTTTTCTCTAACTAATGAATTTAGTTTTCTTTTTTACCCCTCTTAATTATGGAAGTTCTCAATTAATACTTGATTTTATTTTTTATTTTTATTTTTTTGACAGTACTGGGGTTTGAACTCAGGGCCTCATACTTGCTAGGCAGGCACTCTAACACTTGAGCACTCCACCAGTCTTTTTTTGTGATGGGTGTTTATTGGAATAGGGTTTTGGAGATCCTCCTGATCTCTGCCTCCTGAGTAGCTAGGATTACAGGTGTGAGGCACTGGCACTTGGCAAGACTTGATTTGATTTGAAATATAAGAGCAGTGAGGTATAAGGTACAATATTCCTTTGTGAAACCAATGGGTTTTTAATAATTTCACTTGCTAATTCACTGTATACAGTCTGATCCAAGTCTTGTTCTTTCTGTGTTTATGCACAATGTGAATGCAGTTTCTCTAACATAATCATTTTAATTAATCAGTATGGCCACAAAGCAATTCAGACAATTTGTCATTCTTCTCCTTTATTTTATTTTATTTTTTACAAAGTATAGTCTATGGCAGATCAATTTCCCTGTAACAATGAGAGTGTTGACACATAGTTCAAATTCAAAAAGATGTGAATGAGATGGATGGGATATTCAAATTAATGATAACTGAATATGCCCAAGCATTGTGACAGTTTTCTTTAGTAAGTTTACTGAATTTTAGTGAAAAAGATTTGAATGACTCTGAGTGGGAGTGGAGCAGGTAGCAGCAGGTAGAGGAGCCCTTGCCTACCAGGCTGACTACTGGAGGTTGGAGTCAGATCTTGGAGGCCTGGAATACCTAGTAAAGGAGTTTGAGCTTCTCTTTGTCCTCTACATTAGAAATGACTTCAGGTTCTAATAAAGAGCTCCTAAAATCCAGGATTGATTGGCTTTATATACCTAGTATTAAATCTTCGGAATTCCATTTAACCCAAAACCTGTATTTCAAAAGTAACCTCTAAGATTGTTTGATGATCAAAATGCTTTTCATCATCCAATGCTGACACGATGAGAAGAAATTGGATATATTTTGGAGATCTTGGCACAACTTCAAAGAGTGATAGAATAGAATGTGGAGAACTCTTCCAAGTTTGGAAGGCAGCAGTTTGGCCGAGACACACTGTAACGGGAGGGTTCTTTGAAAACATCTCAAGTCTTTCCCTACTTTGGAATTCTAGACGATAGCAAATTTCACGTATGCCTAAAACCCCAAACCACACTCATCTTTCGTCCCCAAAGGACTTCCCAGGGTTACTCCCTGTGTTAGTACTGATAAACGATTTCTGAAGCATTTGCAGCAAGCTTCTCAGTAAACTGCCTTCTAGTCCTTCGAAAAGCTGTTTTTATAACATTCTGAAACGAATCCCTTCCATCCCTATCTCATGTATTTGTTTTTGTTTTGCAGAACAAAAAAGGCTCAGCAACTTAAGAGATTTGGGAACGTATCGCCCAAACGACCTACAGTTAGCCTGGTGTCGCTTCGCAAGATTTTGGTACCCAAAGCAGCGGAACCTGGATTAAGCATCCTTCCTGGGCGCCTACATTTCTTAAAGCAAGCGTGGTGCACTTTTGAATACAATCTCTGTCCAACACCTCCTTGCAGCCCGCCCGCAGCTTCCTTCCCACCGACTACCTCGCCCCCCCTCACTCCCGCCCCCGGCCTGCGCATGCGTTCTAAGAACCCCCTACACTCGCGGCACAGGCTGAGAGTATTGTCGGGGGCTATTCTCTCTCCCAGGAACATGGCGGCGAGTCAGGGAGGTGGTGGTAACAGTGGGGGCGGCGGTTGTGGTGGCGGTGGAAGTAGCGGTGGCAGTGGCGCAGCCGGAGGAGGAGGTGGCGGGGCCGGAGCGGGAGGTAGCGGCGGCGGTGGCGGGACGCTGGTGGTGCCCATCCCGGTAGCGACTCTTTTCGGTCAGCCGTTCCCCAATGGGCCACAGTGGAACCCGGGGAGCCTGCAGCCTCAACACACCGTGAGGAGCCTGGACAGGGCCCTGGAGGAGGCGGGCAACTCCGGCATCCTCAGCCTCAGTGGCAGAAAACTCCGGGACTTCCCGGGCAGTGGCTACGACCTGACGGACACCACCCAAGCAGGTGACAGGACGGGGGGAGGGGAGGCTGGGCTGAAGAGGCGGAGGAGGAGGAGGAGGGGGAAGAAGGGGAGGAGGAGGAGGAGGAGGGAGAGCAGGGAGAGGAGGAGGTGGTGGTGGTGGCGGCGGCGGGGAGTGGGCGGCTGCGTGGCTGCGTTGTTGGACTCTGCTGGTCCGGGCGGGTGCGCGGGGGCGGCAGGACTAACAAAGTCGAAGCAGTGCGTTCTGAACGTGAGGGGCCAAGCAGGGAATAGGGAGGAGGGGGCAATGCCAATGGAAGGATGGGTGCAAATTGGATGGGATGTTAGGGGCGAGAGCATTGTTGTTAGAGCGAGTTTCCCAGTACTGGTGGAAGGGCGGTATTGACACCCTCTTTAATGCACTACTTTCAACTCCCCTGGATGCTCCAGTCTTTCTCGGGCGGGGGTGGGGGGGTGAGAGTGTGGAACACACAATGCATAAATTCGTAATCTGCACATATTCCTTAAAGGCATACGTGCCTGCAAGAATGGCATAGCCCTTCAGAGTATGGCAGCAGTATTGCCACGATTTGTCTGTATTCTTATTTTGTATGTCGTTTAATCATCCTGGGTTATTTTTGTCTTCTTTCTTGTCACGTGTGCCTTTATTTTATTTTATTTTTGTCACGTATGCCTCTAAAGAGTGAGATTTTTCATTTTCCTGGGGTTGAAAAGGTAGTGGTGGTAAAATAGCATTTGGTGCATGAGCAAATTAAATCATCAATCATTTATGTGTCCAGTTACTGGGGGAAAGATAATCCTTGTTTTGAGTTATGTTACTCTTAATTTTTACAGCAGAAAGAGCCAAAAAATTTAAGGGCATTTTGAGATGAAAAAAATTGACTGCATTCTTTATGGAGTTGTGCAATAATGGCTTATCATTTTAGGTGAAAAATTGGCTATGGTAATGTTCTTCTTATATTCTGTGTAGTAGTCTTTGTTGTGGCTGACATTTTTTTGTTAGGAACACACTCTCTTTCCTCTCTGCCTTTTTAAGCTAATGCTGCTTAATTTTAGCTGTTTTGGTTTGATGAAAGGGTTCTTGTTTTTATTTCTTTTTTTTTTTTTTGCTTTTCATAATCTTTAAATTTGTCATTTATGTGTCTGTTTCATAAACTTTGCTGAAATAAATCTTGGACAAAATTATTTTAATAAATGTCACAGTGGTGTTGAAACAATATAGTAAAATAAATTCACATATAGTGAGAAATAGGAAAAGGTCTTTTTTACAAAACAAGAAAATATCAGTGTATTCAGTTTCTATATATTAAACCTAGATAGGTGTATTGGAGGAGGATGGGGAGAAGAGGAAACCTTAAATTGAACCTTTCCACCCAGTGATTCTCTGAGGTATTATTCTAAGAACTATGAATGCACAATTGATACCTGATTTTGTATTTTGGAATGCACATTTGAGTATTTACTCCTTCACTCACAGCAGATTTCCTAAACAAAATTGACTGTATTGGTGTGTTCTTCAAAAGCTTCAGAAAAATGGCTTCAGAGAGGGCTTTTTTGTTTTGTTCTGTTTTTTTTCTTTATAACCTATAAAGGATCCTTCTATTTGTAGGACAAAGTTTAAGTAAGCATCTTAGCTTGGCAGTCAGGAGTTTTCTGGCCATATTGGCACAGACTCTTTCTTCCATTTGGACCCTTTCTTCCATTTGGGCCAACTCTCTGTCCCTCAAATATATTTTGTGTATTTCTGCCTCATCTTTGTACAAGATTATCTGCATGCTTGGGATTTTCGGCTTTTCTCCATCTATTTAATTTTGTTCAAGCCCCAGCTTTTCCAAGAAGCTCTTTCTAACTCCCTTAGTCCATAGCCTGTTTCTTTCAATTCCCAAGATACTTATTGTCGTTACCACTTACTTGACAGTGCAGGCTTTATTTCCTTTTGTATTTGTGTCTTGCTGTACCTGGCAAGATGAAGAGCCACTTAAAGGCAGGCAATAAGCCATGTACTTGTTGACTTCTTGTATTTGATATTTCTTATAAATCTGGATATCATTTTCTTCAGTTTTAACCTTTGGCTTTTGAACCTTCACTTGGTTTTCTGAAGCAAGCTTCAGTACAACCCAGAACCACATATTTATTCTTGGTAAACATTGTTGGCCATTTTTCTTCTTTTTGCTGCTGGGGATGGAACCCAGGACCTCACACATGTTAGTTCAGTACTCCACCACTGCACTACATTCCCAAGATCTTGATTAGTGTCTACTGTAACTTCTTGAAATAATTCCACATTATTTTGCATTTTTTTCCCCTGTCAAATGTGTGTACCTTGTTGGAACACTTCAAAATCAGATGGAGTAAAACAGATCTTGTACACCGGGTGCCAGAGGCTCACACCTGTAATCCTAGCTACTCAGGAGGCAGACATCAGAGGATGGTGATTTGAAGCCAACCCTGGGCAAATAGGTGGAGAGATCCTATCTCCAAAAAACCCAGTGCCACCAAAAAAAAAAATAAAATAAAAATCCTGTGCTGTTCTATTTTTCATTTAAATGAGATATTTATGGGTGACTCATTTGCCGTTTGTTTATGACAAAATTCACCATGAACTGTGTAGAAGCTATATATTTATTTTTATTTATTTATTTTTATTCATATGTGCATACAATGTTTGGGTCATTTCTCCCCCCTTCTCCCATCCCCTCTCTTACCCCCCTACCCCCCCAATACCCAGCAGAAACTATTTTGCCCTTGTATCTAATTTTGTTGAAGAGAGAGTATAAGCAATAATAGGAAGGACCAAGGGTTTTTGCTAGTTGAGATAAGGATAGCTATACAGGGAGTTGACTTGCATTGATTTCCTGTGCATGTGTGTTACCTTCTAGGTTAATTCTTCTTGATCTAACCTTTTCACTAGTTCCTGGTCCCCTTCTCCTATTGGCCTCAGTTAGAGGCTATATTTTTGAATGTGAGGAGATCAATATTCATTATATACAAATGAGGGTACATACAGGAGATCTGAACAAAACTAGACACATATTATCTATTTGATGTTGAAAACAGTTCTGTTTGATTGCATTGTTACGCTGTACTTAAAATGACTCTCAGGCGGTTAATGATTCAGAACCAAACTGATAAGTTAGACAAGCATAGGATGGTTTATAGGATTGGGAAGAGAGTGGAGGAAGAGGAAATAGCTAAGAAGTCATTCTGCTAATTAATTTAGGTGAGATTGGTGAGAAAATAGGCCTAGACAATATTGAATGAGGGGAAGTTGATACATTTGAAAAGAAGCAGGGAGGGCCTTTTGCTTTTTTTTTCTTTTTCTTGTATATTTGTAAGATGCAATAATAGACCAGTGTTTCCCTATGTTAGCTACACATTAAAATACAAGGGAGTTTCCTTTTTTAAATCTGTGCCAAGGCCCTACCCTAGACCAATTATATCAGAATCTCAGTGATCAAGAGAATTTTCTTTTAAATTGTCTCAGGTGATTCTCAAGTACAGTCCTTGTTGTAGAAACCGTGAAATAGATCATTTTTAAAAACCCTTAAGAAATGTTTGCTTTTTGAGTGAATAAGAGCACTGATGAAAGTTTAGTGATTAACCTAGAGTCACTTGTCCAGAGGGTCAAAACCAAAACTAGGAACAGTGTTCAAGTTCTAGTTCAGTGTTCTTTTCGATATACTTGTGTGAAGCAAAGACTCATTTTCTTCATTGTACTGTGTCTTTTTACAGCATCATCTTGTGAATAGAAACGTTCTAGGAACCTATAGTTTCTTTAGTTTTCATGACTAACCCTGATTTATGTTTTGTACTGTTTGTTAAATTTGCAGTAACAAACAGTGCCCCAAAAACATGTAGCCACAAAAATCTTATTTTTTCTGTTAACAAGCTTGCTAGGAGGGAAAACGGATAGTAGGCAGCTATTGGTCAAGTTTATCTTCTTTTTACCTCTCTCTTCATTTGTGGTGTCCTGGTCTCTGTTACTTGCCTCCTCTTTTCCGTCCCCATCATGCTGCTGTCCCTCTCTGCTTATCTTTCCTTCTTCAGTCTCACTTCCCTTCTTTTTTTGGGATGGAGCGCAAAGCTAAAAAATTATGGCAGCGTCTCCAGGAGATTAACTTTTTTTTTTTAAAGCGGGGAGTTTAACTTACTTGAAACCAATGGTGATTTGTGCTCATGACCTTTTTGAGTACATCTGCCTTCCAGATACTCCTTGATTAAAATTCTCACCCGCAAAAGGACATAAAGACAAGGATTAGAAAATTGGTAACCTGTTTTAGGAAAGTAGCTGACTTTTGCTATAATGTCTTCTCCGAGATGTTTTGTAGGTAGACTTGGTAAGATGAAGAGTGAGAAGTTTTTGAATACTATGATAGTTTGTTGACTTGAAAATGAATTTAATGGTTACCCAAACACATCTTGAAACTTTCCATAGTTGACTCTGTCACCAGTGCTGCAAATGAGTGGATGTGTTTGAGCCTACTTGCAGCTGCTCCCTCTGCTTCTTTTTAACAGTTCCTTTTTATGTCCATGAGGAGCAAGTCTGTGAAACACATTTAGAAATTCTTACACCAGATTGTGCTGTGTCCTGGATAATCACATGTTTTCCTGTAAACCAGGAGTCAACTCTAGGATTTCCTACATGTGTTGGTTCACCTCTTCAACTGTGGGACACATTGCATTGTATCAGGTTGTGAAATGGATCCAGATAAACATAACATTTGATTTAGTTACACAGTTGAAGGTCCTCTCAGTTCATTTAGTGGAATGAACTTGTGATTATGATTTTGAGGCCTCATTCAGATATTTGCTTTGTTTTATGTAATAAGTGTCTCCCTGAGAAAAAGAATGGGAAACACATTTTTAACAGTTGACTCTTAATTGATGTAGATTAAATCTGAGTTGCTGAGCCTTGTAGTGATTTATTCAGGGAAAAATTCTGTAGCATAAATCATTGTTCTTTAATTTCTTTCTTTGCAAGTTTGGATTTTGAAATAAAATGTTAGCTTAAATTGGAGGGTAC